AGGTACTAGGTACGGTAAGTCAATTACATATTATAATTTTTATTTATAAACTCTAAATTTGAGATATTCATTTCTCCTGAATATTTGCCCAAAATTGTTGCACACGGTACACTATCACAATTACATTGAATGGAATAAGGTTCCTTAAACCAAATTTAGTATCGTTTTCTGGAATAAGTTTTCCCGAAATAAATAAATAATTCGTTTTCAGGAGAGTGTGTGGGTGTGTGCGTGTCATGCTGCGTGTACGGCTTGCTTAGTGGCTGTTCCATACACAGTCCATACACACACTGCCAGCTTCATACATTCATACAGGTAATTTGATCTCTGAGTCAGCACTAGACATTCATACAGGAAGTCGGCTGTGTTAGCTCCATAAATTCGTACAGGGTAGCAGCTTGTTGTGTCAGCTCTATACATTTGCACATATTCATACACTTGTACACAGGTTCAGTATTTGCATTGTAGGTAGATGATTATGATTATACATTTTGATTTTAATTTGAACGATATTAAACATTATAATGGTTCTCTCACTGGTTTAAGGGATTTTGTTACCTACTATATATGTATTTGTATAGGCAATTAAATTATAACACTGAATATCATGCTGGCAGTTTTACAGCCAATGGATGCACTGAAATATTTTGCTGATTCGTTGCTAACACTGACGAGACTGTTACTGGTGTCTTCACAAAAGTATTGTCCACTCATTTCATAAGCATCGAGCTCATTTTACAAATACTATTGTTGTTTACACAAGCATTTTTAGTGTGTTAAATGAACTGTAATAATGGCCACACTAATGCTGTCTTGCAGCTGTCACTAATGCTGTCTTGCAGCTGTCACTAATGCTGTCTTGCAGCTGTCACTAATGCTGTCTTGCAGCTGTCAGTGCAGCTGTCACTAATGCTGTCTTGCAGCTGTCAGTGCTGCTGTCAGGACTGTTGTTGTTGCTGCTGCTGTTGCTGCCGCCCCCCACCTCCCCCCTCTTGCTGCTCCCCCTCACCGCCGTGGTGGGGGGCGTGGGGGTGCTCTGGAGCTCCCTGATGCTGGGGGAGTTCTCCCCCCTCTGGCTCCTGGGGGAACTTGTCGGCTCCCGTCCTGGTCTAGGGTAATTTAATAATTAGCAATACTGCATTGATTAATTTTAATGGACTAATGTCAATTAAAGAATTAATTAATAAAAGTTTATGCAATATTTTTTGTTGCAAGTAAAACGTTAGAAGAATTTTTCTCTCATTTCCAAAATGATTTTTCATTAAAAAAATGAAAAGTTGAAAATTATTGAACGTAAAATCTGATTAATCATTCTGCTTTGTGTAAAGATTGTGACAAATTTATATGCTTTTTGTCTAGATTTCCTCCAAAATCGAATCAAAGGACGAGGATTTGAATTATAGAATCAATACTACATGAAATAAACAGCACATTGTACGCTATGTACAAAAATCATTAAAATCATATCTAAAACCATTACTGCTCTATAAACAATAATAATTCTCCAGTACAGTAACTACAGTACCACAATATTTACTACATAGTACAGTACCAACAATAATCATTCTTCAGTACAGCAAGGAAAATAATCATTACATTGAAGAGTACATACAATAGTCATTACAATGATTACAAATAAAGTTTACTGTACAGGTGGGGGCGCGTGCTGCTGTTGTGCTGGTGGACCGCATGCAGTGTGGTGGCCTGGCTCACCACTAAGTGGGTCTATAGGTCAGTACGTCTACAACATAAATAATATATATGTAACATGGAATCTATATAATATATATGTGTTAAAATGTGTTAATTTATGTGTTATGTGTTAGAACATATACGGTATAATAAATATGTTATATGGAATCTATATATTTATACCTATGTGTTATACCGTATGTCTAGACTCTAGAACATATATAATACATATGTTATTTAGAATCTATATAATGTATACCTATGCGCTATATGTGTAGAACATGTATAATAAATATGTTATATAGATCTACATAATATATTATACAGCCTTATGTGCTATATAGCATGTTTACATTAAGCTCCACTGAGGTGAATTTTTGCTTGATTTACGTGTTACAAATAGTGTAATAAATGATAAAAATATGTTGTTGTTGTATTTTTCTTTTACGATTACAGGCGAATACACCGGCCTTTTACCTTGCGATTTTATTGCTGCATTGTTTTTTATTTTAATTTCTCCCAGGTACCGTGCAGTACCTGTACCCGTGGTACGCAAGACATACCATTAACCTGTCACCTCTCCCAGGTACCGTGCAGTACCAGTACCCGTGGTACGCAAGACGTACCATTAACCTGTCACCTCTCCCAGGTACCGTGCAGTACCAGTACCCGTGGTACGCAAGACGTACCATTAACCTGTCACCTCCTCCCAGGTACCGTGCAGTACCAGTACCCGTGGTACGCAAGACGTACCACGTACTCGCCGTGGTCGTGTGCGTCGCAGGGGTCGCCGTAGACGCGGCCTTCCTTCACTTGGCCTCCGTCGCGGCGACCATCGCTTGCCTCATCGCCGAGGTCAATAATTTGACTTATCATTACCAATTAATTATATACTGATTTTTCTTCATTAGCTCTTTATATCGGTATACTGATTTATCATCGGTGTAGTTCGGCAGAAGCTTATCTTTTATGCAAGTTTGATTGAAGACCAGAGCATGCTTTTTATTTACAATCTTCTTGTTCGTTTTTTCAATGAGTCGAACCAAATTTCTAGCTGGAGCCGGGAGATCGAAAAGCAGGTTTCCGAATGACATTTTAATATATTGCGACGTTTCGAAAATACAATTTTCATTATCAAGCTGGTGAAGGTTCTACAACATCTGAAATTGTATTTGAAATGACAGAAGTACATATCAAAGGTAAAGGATACAATACGAAACGTCTCAATCTATTAAAAATGTCATTCGGAGACCTGCTTTTCGATCTCCCGGCTCCAGCTAGAAATTTGGTTCGACTCATTGAAAAAACGAACAAGAAGATTGTAAATAAAAAGCATGCTCTGGTCTTCAATCAAACTTGATTTATCATCTTAACTCTTTCTATAAGTACTGATTTATCATCTTAACTCTTTATATAGGTACTGATTTATCATCACTAATTCTTAATCTTTTTGTACTGACTTATCGTCTTTAATTCTTTATATACCTACGGTACTGATTTATATTTACTTCGTAATGTATTATTAAAGATTAATTATCACTAAATTAGTTATAGGGAATGATCATAAATTTTCAATTGCTAAATTATTAAAAATAAATTCATTATTTCTGATTCATTGTCACAAATTGATTAGTACGTATCAATGATCACCGATTTATTAATACTAATTTTTTAGTAATAATTTATTCTCACTGATTTGTTATCACTAATTTGCTATTTCCATATTAGGTATTATATAATTATTTTCCGTCGTTTATTGTCACCAATTTTTTATTTCCAAATTTATTATTAATTTTCCAATAAAAGAATAATCCATTAGTCTTTCTGCCTCTATCTCTACTCATGCTAATGAATTTTAATTCCACATTAATCGTTCAAATTCTGTATTGCTGCCTCTTTCTCACAGTTTATTTAATTTTATCTCATTTTTTTATTTGCTTTCTCCCCACATGATTAATAAATAATTTTTTTTTAAAAGAAGCTTCCTTGTTCATGTGTTCTATCTATATATTATATTCGCCGCTTTTCTCTGTTACACAAATTATAATGTGTCACGTATTGATGTTTGTACTTCGATTTGTTACCGCAATAATATTACATTTGTTATTGCCTTGTAATCATCATTGTAATCATTGCTCGAGATGAAAAATTTCTGAGACTTATCATACCTAGTTTTCCCTGTACTCTTAATATTCACAGTTTCAAATGGTTTCTAATAATGAAAGGCCAGTAAAAACCGACATTTAGCTTGAAATTCGCATTTAACATCTGTTTGTAATCCCCGTTGGTTTATTATACTAACTTATTTGTATTTATATTTTTTAATTTTTTGTATTATTTCATCAGGTTGTTCGTGTTTTGGACGTAGCGTACGTAGCACCGACTTTAAGTTCGGCCTTCGCCAGCTTCTTGGACGAAAAAGACCGCAGTGGCCGCTTGATCCTATCACCGATCTACCTTCTTGTCGGCCTCAGTCTACCTCTGTGGCTTCTACCTCTACCTCTACCCCACTGTCCCCCCTCAATCTACTGCTCTCCGTGTGGGAACAACTTTCTACCCTTCACCCCCTCTTACATTGACCCCCTCTTTCGAAATTTTGACTCTGAAAACTCGATTTTAAAAGATGAAAGCGAAATTCTTAATCCCGAAAACGGGAAATGTTTTAATGTAGGAACAGAGCGATTTGATTATGAAAATAACAACCAATTAATAGAGAATTTTTCAATTAGTTCTTCGCAAATGATTTTACTCCAACTGGCTGGGGTTCTCGCTGTTGGTATCGGGGATACCTTCGCTAGTATCGGTGGTATTCGCTATGGTAGACATAAATACCCTGGCTCTAATAAGACCATCGAGGGCAGTGCGTGTGGTATCGCAAGTCAAGTGATGGTAATAGTGGTATTGGTGGTGTTGGGTTGGGTTAACGTCGGCTACCATGCTATGGTATGGTGGATGGGTGTGGTTATAACCATATTTTCAACATCCATTGTTGAAGCTTTCACTAATCAAGTGGATAATTTGGCACTTCCGTTGATTACGTTTACAGGATTCTGCATAACTGAATATTTGGCGGCTGTATGAATAACTTGAAACTTTTCTTTTAAATGAAATTTGATTGTCATTCGAATTTTCCTGTGATAATTGAGCTTCCGCCTAGTCTAATCATTGGAAAAAGTTGGTGCTTTTTCCTTTGTAAATACATCGTTGAGCCTCAATGTGCTCTGCTCTCTACTAACTCTGAAAATAGCGAAAAAATTTATCGTGTTTCCTATATTAAATACACTGTTAGAAAAAACGGTGAAAAAACGGTCCCACTGGCGTTCTAGTGGCCGGTCGCCCGTGAAAATGAACTGTTTCGCCGTTTTTATCAGATGTTTTCCGGATTTCTAGTGTTAAATTAGATTAAAAACGGCGACACAGTGTTTTTTTTTCACGTGCTGACCGGCCACTGAAACGTCGGTAATACCGTTAACGGTAATTTTTCTAACAGTGTACCTGCTACTTGAGAAATCCATGTAATGCCGTTCATGGGCATTGATTTCTTACCGTCATATATACCTACTACTGCAAAATACAAAATAAAATTCAGTTGCTTAATGCGATATGCCTTCTTTTAAAGGCCGTATTTTTGTTTATCAGGAAGTCCCCGAAGAAAAATGCTCATTTTAACGACCATGTAATTAGTGCTTGATTTGTAGGTAAATAAACGCTAATTTTATCGAGCGTTTTTACGTTTTCCATACCTCATGTTCTTTTCAGAAAACTGAAGCTTGATTATTTTTAAACATATACGCATATATTTACCACTTGATTGTTTTATATCTTTATAATATTCCATTGTTGGTACAATTTATAAATTTGAATTTATGAATAAACTAATAAGCTTCACCAATTTCCTAAACCAGCTTCAATTTCATTTCATGATGCGATTCCCGCGTCCTTCCTAACGTTTCAAAATGGTTTTAAATTTAAGGGAATTTGAGTGGGAAAAATTATGTACGATTGATTGAATGTTGATTATTTTGTGCTCTGGTTTGCCTCATATCTACTTCAAGCAGCTATTGTATTTTCGTTGTGTTTTAATTAGGAATAATTTTGGCTATATTTCATAAGCCATTAAGCTGTCATACGCATTTCATACGTTAAGTTTAGAGAACCATTTAGTTTATATTGAATATCTTATAAGTGAAATTTAATACTATTTTTGAAACTTCTCTGTCGAAACTGTAGTTTAAAATTGGTTGACCAGGTAAGTGAAGACTAGTCATGCTTGAAGTATAGTATGATGTTAGATTCTGAATTCTCAGAAACTAAAGCAAAAGTAGGAGAATCTTCAGGATTGAATGCCTACATTTTTACTTAATACATTAATTATGTACGTCTTGCAAAACGACCCGCATGTGGGTCTTGAATTTTATTGCGCTAGCATGTAGAGCACATTGAATAGAAGTCCTAGATAAATAAAACAGAACATTTCCATGTATTTCCAGATGTATTCTACTAGCTGATGATGGGCATAGCCCGAAACGTTCTGTTTTATTTATCTAGGACTTCTATTCAGTAAAATGTTTTATGCAACTTTTTTGGTTTTAGCCTTTATTCTTAAACTGAGCACATTGATAAACACATACACAACCCCTCACTTCAATATGTGGACAGGCACTGATGCTATAGCAAGCCACACATAGTCAGCAGTTTTGATCCCCGCTCCTAACATGTTAATGATTGTTGATGTCTATGATAATTGAATTTTATGTGCAGCCTGAAAATTTTAAAATATCAGGTGTCAGTGAACCATGAAAAAGTTAAGATCTGAACAGATGGTCGATTGCAGATGAGCTTCAAGAGTTCCTTAAACCAATACTTGGAATTTTTTGCAAATTTTGCTTACCGTACATATTAAATTATATAACTTTGGAATGGCTCCAGACCCTTCTATGACGAAACAGAATGGTGAAGACAGAAGTGCACCTCACCATCACTGCTGTCACCACCATACCTCCCATCATTCCTGTCATCGGCAAAAAGAGTCACAGCCTCAAGTTCAGGTAAAAGAATATAATGGCTGCTATATTCAATTCACGTGAGCACTGAAATAATATTAATAATGATGAGCCCTTGCATCTTTTGGTTCAAACAGTGAAATTATTATTATTCTATTAATTATTATTCTGACAACAATTTTGAAAAATACCTAACAATAGAATGTAGAAGTCAAAATATTACCAATGAAAGATTCAGGTTTTGCCTCCCATGCTTATTATTATTATGTACATTGGGTATTTGCTTTGCTTACCTACTTGAAATTTAATAAGCATAGTATTTCAAGAAATTGTAAATAATTGTCTCTCTAATCTCTCTCTACTTCAATATTTTGTAGTAGTAGTTAAAAATTTGTAGTTACTCATCCATGTGAGGAAAAGTTGCAAACTTGAAAATGAATTTCAATTTCAGATGATTTACATCTAACATGAATGAGTGTTTTGCCTATTCATTTATGCATAGTTTTGATTGTTTTTCTTATTCATGTTATAGAGCACTATGAACCTAGTGTACAAATAATTATTATTCTCTATTACTATACATTTATTCTTTCTTTATTCTTTAGCCACACAGGAATACAATAATAGAAAATAGAATGATATAATAAGGACAAAAGATGATCAAATTAATGATAATTTCTTTGAGCAGACCTAAAGCAGGTCCTGGCTTGTGGTTGCCGGCTTTATTACCCGTGTCCTGCGTAGCTCTGGGCATCCTGTCTGGATTTTCTTCAGCTGCTCCATTGATGATCCTCTCTTTGATGGTGATATGATATATTTGAATTGATGAATATTATTTGAGCATTAATTACTAATAATAAGATATAATTTATGCAGTAGGTAGTTATAAATTGAGCAATAATTGCTACAAAATGACTCAGTGGCATTGATTGATCAAGAGTCAGTTTATTATATAAAGGTATGCTATCTTATGTTGCCAATGATGGATGTTTTCTGACACACAACTTTTAGCTTTCTGGTTATCCAAAAGATCTCCAGGAAATAATTAAAAAAATGTTATTGTCATTTTGTATAGGTACTTGTCTGATTACAAATGAATTAATTGTCATAACTTTTGTATTCCAACTATGAAATATGATTTGAAAGAGCAAGGTTGTACATATCTATAGAAAAGAAAAAGCCTAATTTTAGATTACCTATATTGGAAAATTTCTTATTGTGTGTGATTTTAATGAAGACCTCAATTCAAGAGCTGTTGCTGCTGCTATCTAATGCTGCATAGCCGCTACTCTATCAAGTCTCTGCCACTGACCTCCTTTTCATCTGAATCTTCTCCAAATCAGAAGTATGTTGTGACAAAAATTATTAGATTTATTTTTTAATTTTTGTCTGCCTCACACAATTATTATTATACACACACAAAATTATTAGATTTATTTTTTAAATTTTGTCTGCCTCAAATCAGAAGTATGTTCAGAAGTATGTTTAAAATTATTAGATTTATTTTTTGATTTTTGGCTGCCTCACTCAGGCATTCATGCTTTTAAAATATATTTTATGCGCCAATGTTTTTGATGCAACTAATTCATTATTTGACCTTATATCTCTTTGTGTATGGTACATGCTTGATTTATTTCCATTGCCATATAAAAAAAAACATTCCATGTTACAAAGGAATTTTAAATTATGATTTGGGTGAAGCTTAAAGAAATTTAGGTATTCAAATCTATGTAACCATTACCAAATTTTATCTGTTTGTCATATACTTTTTCACTTGAAGATTTTTAACCATGTTTGCAGCAGCAGTGAAAGCTTTATATGTAAGAAGAGCAGCACATTGCAGTACAAGAGCTACTGTGTTGCTCTGCAGCCCATAAAGAGCAACTCTACAGACAGACGCTTGCAGATTCTCTGCATNCTATTATAAATACCATAGGTACTACCTATATAAATTTGTATAGCATTGTTCTATTATTTCATTAATCTATTCTAGAATATGTACTGGGTGGGTAATGGACATATTTTGTTGTATATTTCCATGGCTCTCTTCTACTTGAAAACAGGTAGGTACCTAATTTTATTGTACATGGTTTTGTTTGCACATGTGTTTTATGTACATATATATCTATTTTGAGGTTTATAATAGTTTTGTTATAATTTTCTATTATATTATAATTTGCTGTGTTACATTACATCATTATTTACTTCTCATTGAATACATAGATAGAAGATTATGTGAAAGATTTTACCTTTGTTAATGTGCATATTTAGTAACGGAATAATGAATTAGTTGCCGTCAATCAGTTTAGTCAGTTGAATCTTTCTTCCAATAAGTGATGAAATTAAGTTTTCTGAAGATCTATCACTCTGACAGGTTTTGTGATGGCCGCAACATCAGTGTTGGTGAATGTGGTGGTGGTGGTAGTGGTGAACACTTGGCTCGTCACTCACCACTCTCAGACCTTCAGTGTTGGCGAGTGGCTACTGGCGGGTTAGCTATTATAATTTTTATTTATAAACCCTAAATTCTATGTATTGATTTCTCACAAATATTTGCCCCAAATTGATGCATAGGTACGTACTAGGTATCTCAATTACATATTAAAATTTTTATTTATAACTTTAAATTTGAGATTTTTATTTCTCACAAATATTTGCCCAAAATTGATGCATAGGTACTAGGTATGGTATCTCAATTACATATTATAATTTTTATTTATAAACACAAAATT